TTGTATGGATGTTTCTTGAAATCTGACAATTCGCATGAATTCGTTTTTATATCTGACTCTTACAGAGGACGCTAGTTACACGGTTCGTACCGAGTAGTTTTGAACATAACTTTTTTGGGGTTAGATTTTCCAATCCAAATATGATATGATCTTGAATATCATTCAATTTTACACCAAAAAGGTACTCTTGGTGAAACTCGATGCTATGTTCCGTTTGCGGAATATTTCGATTTGAAAATAATGGAGTAGTAATGATGCTGGTATAAAATTAATTTTATTGAGTTCAATTACCTATTTATTCAGGTTCAAAAACAATGGAATTATTCTTGTGCTGAAGTTATTGATGGCACAAAGAATCATAAGTAGGGAATTAAGAGATATTTGACTAGAAACATGAAATATTGAATCAGTTAGAGTGAGTGTTCAAAATCTCCTACGTTTCGAGGAGTACACGATTCTATATATTTTTTTAAGAATGAATTATTCTTCTGAACAGTCGAGGATCAGCTGTCATGTCATTTGAGTGATGTTCACAACTCTTGACGTAAATTTACCTTTGTAGCATAGACGTTCTGCTCAAGATACAACAAAACTGTGTAATCCATGTTCTTAGTCAAATCTGTTTCGATGTTATTCTTGTGATTCATTGTTAAATCAATGAGTTTTGCATCAGAAATGTAGTTTTCGGTTTTCAATAAATAGGTGATAATTTTTCATAATACTCACTCTGATACATTGCTTTTTACCAGCAACAGTTACCACTTCATCATTTTCAAATCGAAATATTCCGAAAACGGAACACAGTATCGAGTTTTACCAAGAGTACCTTTTTGGTGTGAAATTAAATAATGTTCAACTTCACACCAAATTTGGATTGAAAAATCCAACCTCAAAAAAGTTATGTTCAAAACTACTCGGTACGAACCGTGTAACTAGCGCCCTCTATGAGAGTCAGATATAAAAACAAATGCATGCGATGTTTCAGATTCCAAGAAACATCCATACAAAATTTCATCACAATGTTGCCAGTAGTTTCAACATAATCGTAAAAAATGTGTAAAAAAACTATTGTTTCAACACCTTGTATCTTGAAAACGGATGGCGTTACGACATTTTTTTACTGAGCAATCCCAACTCATTTTGCAATGTTCTACCTACCCTAGCAAGGGGGTTAGGTTTTTTTGAAACACCCTGTATAACCGAAAGTAGCAGACAACTGAATTTATTTCGACCCAAACTACTGACGTAATTTCAGCAACACGGCTTTTGAACATTATATAAACATGTTGCTATAACACCTAATCGTCTATCCACTCGACGGTATTCAAATCATTTCTGGGCGGTAATCAAAGGGTAGTGCACATCAATGTTTTCCCTCGGGACACATGATATAACAGACCACGTGAACATTTCACCATAAAAGTAATTTCTGTAGGATAATCAAAGTTTAGGAGGCAAGATGAAGCAATGAACTTGGAATTGCTTTCCGTTCGAGACTCACATAGCCGTAGATAATTTTATAGATGAAAGAAGTATATACAGCAGAATCGGATTTTGGAATAATTTGTTCCTACTGGCCATATTTCCGTCATTTGTCAATAAAACTGATAGATAGTATAGCTTTTATGCACGACCAGGCGTAAAGTAGCACTTCACCGCCCGGTTTTGCAAGTGTAAGGTGGCATTTTACTCGTAACTCGTAATAAGTATTCCTGTATAATTCAGGTAGGACTTCAATGTTCTAGTTGTGATTGTTACTTATCCAATATAACAGTTCTCTTGATATTTCTTCTACTATTTCGAGAAATTGACTGAGTTACCATGGTAACTTTGATTCCATTAATGATATTTCTCACTGCAACCATGATATTTTTCTATCGTGCTTGAGAGATTGAGAGGTATTGACAATGAAAGATCAAATATATGTATACCCGTCGTGCATAATAGTATTTTATTCAACAAGCATATAATAATAGCTCATCATATGCGAGTAGAATACTATACTTCTACTATTGTTTTTGATATATAAATTTATTTTCAACTACTGTTTCATCTTAACTCACTCGACATTAGGAAGACCAAGAATTGAAGACCTTTCATATTAATTATTTGTCCATGACTGCTGTACTTCCTCAAACGAAACGATAGCCATTTTTCACACCAGTGAATGATATAGCAGTTCAAAAAAACAAGCAATATTATTCAGGAGGTTGTAGGGTGGATTATAGGGAGAGGAAAATTGGTATCAGACAAGAATTAAAATTTAATTCTTCACGATTTACGATTTTCTCTTACCGTTTCTCTGAAATAAATATGAGTGATGCCACTGTGTCCAGAAATTCACTGTTAAAAATCGTAGGGAGATACCTATTACTAATAATAATCCATGTTTTCTCCTCACAACAGTATGTTGTGGTAATTCTTATATCTTCACTTAGTAGCCACTTTCTTTTTGATATTTCATGCTCCTGAGCAGCCCAGTGTTTGTAGCACTTGAGCTACCGCCAAATAGAACGCATTTTAGTGAACTTTCACAATGATTCAACACACCATCATCAACATGAGATTACAGTACATAATAAATAGTATGATACACAGGCTGGTCCCTCTTTCTTTCAGAAGTAAATTTCAATAAAGAACTCAATATCATAAAACAGATTGCAGTCAATAACGGATACAACGTTGATTTGATAGACACTATTCTTTCCAAAAAGCAATTCAAGAAGTTTATCCCACCATCAGAAATAATAATCAAAATTATTACCGTGACTTCAAGCACTAACGAAAAAGAACGCGTTCCTGCCTATTTTTCATGCTCTGGAGTAGCTCCGGTGTTACCCACACAGTCAAACAGAAAGTGGCTACTGATACACGGGAATAGAAGAAATCCCAAGAAAATCTTTAGAGTATTGAACATTTCACCTCCTCCATTAACCTACAGACAGCATATTTATTAAAATTATTATATGAACACTTGGCGAAGGAAATTACCATTGAGTGAAACAGCTCACAAAGAAGCGCTCGTTCTCTTGTAATATTTCTGACACATTGAATTATATTAATATTTGGAATACCAATTGGGTTTGACCTATCGATGGATAATTTCACATACAAATTCAAAAAACCCATATTCCAGGCTCAACATGGCTCTGAATGACCACTATGAAACATTCGCATCGAGATCGTTATTATTGTTCATCAGCTCATCACTCACATGCTCTATTTTAATTATTCTTTCTCTCTATCTCACTTTCTTCTCTCTTTCTCCTCTCTTCCTCCTCTTTTGCTCCTCTCTTTATCCTCTCTTTCTCCTCTCTTCCTAGTGCTCTTTTGGCCTATTAGCTTTATTTTCAATTCACAGCTTTGGTGGAAGATCAGATGAGAATTATTCGCATTCTGAACGAGAAGCCCTTTGCTCATCATATATTTATAAATATATGTAAATATATGTACCACTGTATACCGATATATGTGAACATATAATATGGTCTCCAATGAATGTATTATTATTATTATAGTTCAGTTACGCCAATGGAAATTTAGTAGCCAATATATTCATGAAAATTGATTTCTGGAGTAATTGCAAAGCCTCATGAAGAAGCTGAAATTGGTTTGAATAAATTGAAAATGTTAAGCTTCAACTTTTTTAATGATTATTTGCGTTCTATGACTTGATAATAGTTCATATGTTCTAAAATGAGCTACTGAATTGATTCGTAGAATGTCATAATAAATAGCCATCCTTTATAAAAATACGTAAATAATCGGCGGATTAGCGCAGAAATCAGAACATCGAAGGGTTGATAGACCGACAGAGCAGATAATTTTCATTTATAAAACGAGTTATAAAGTCCAATTTCCGTAGCCTAGGCCAAAGATGATTCCGCGCGACTCACTTATGCTTTCTAATCAACAGTGCTAATCTCAAGGTGGCGTATGTAGTCAGTTATGAAGCCTGGCCAGTTGACGTATAGACACATACCAATGGAGTACGTTTTATGAATACAGTATGTCCACGTTGAGGACTTACCAACCCTGTAAAATCTTCATTATTTGATCGATTTCAAAGAATTTATTTCTGTTCAGAATGTATATCCAAGAATTGAGTGATTTTATTAATTGCTAACTGCGACAAATTTTTTTTATTCAAATTTCAAAAAGTGATATCGAGTATTTTTGTATCAATTAAAATAATAATAATCAGTATTTTCGGACACCTTATGTTTAATGATGATGAAAATCGGTGAAGGTTTATTTCTTCAAAGGATCCTGATTCAGAATCCATCATCATTTTTTGTGGATAGATATATTGCTGATGTACTTATCCTTCTTTAATTCTAGTCTCAAACACATTGTATGATAAAAATCGGTACTTTCAGTGATATGTTTGATATGATCCTGAATGAGATTTTGTCATTAGTTTTTTACAAAAATATCACAGTACTTAGGTACTACATTATCCGATCACATATCCAAAGAACTCCTAAATAATTTTTTTCGACACCCTGTGTTTTATGATGATGAAAATCGGTTCAGGTATGTTTCAAGTAATCCTGATTCATACATCATTATTTTTTGTAAGAAAAAAATCCTTACAGTATTTTTTCAAATATGGGTCAATAAAATTGGTCGCAGTTGACCACGATAACAGTCCAAGCATAAAATCACCCTCTTGTTGGACGGACATTTCAAACACCTGCCCAACAAAAAAAAGTTCCGAATTCGATCAGATAATACCGATTTTACAAAGATCCTCGACGTGGATGTATATGAGTGAATAATATTAAGCTAGAAGAAACAAATCAGATACTTAATGAATAGACATTATCATTACGTTTTTCTGTTTTATACAATGTCATAATTCATTAATTTGAAGTGAATATAATAATGTCAAAATTTCAAAATGTTCAATATCCTACTGCTATATACAATGTGTTATGTGTTCTGGTTTCGTTGTGATGATATTCATAATATTCCATGTTTTTTTCAGAATATCTAAAATGCAGGATCTCTTCCATCTCTTCAGCAGATTGCTTATGGTTTTCTTGGTAGCTTCCATGGTTGCAGTGAGTGCAAGACGAATGGATGATAATACGTTGCCAGAAAATAGCCAGGTCGGTATATATAAAATTGATTTTTAAAAGATTTTTCATTGCCTCAAAACCAAAAGTATATTAGCGAGATTAATACACAACTACATGATAAAAACAATTAAGTTTGAAAGCTTGAAATGGGAAATTTATTTATAAGTTAGAATTTCATATTGAAATATTCAGAAATAATCACTTATTCTCAGTAATATTCATAGTTCGAACATTGAATGTTCAATAATTCAGAAATAATCACTTATTCTCAGTAATATACATACTTCGCACACTTTTCTATCGATACTTCCACGGGAAATGTTCTTCGGAAATCTCTGCAATCATCCCTTCACTAGCAATACCAATCAGACGAACTAGACAAGCCCAGTCAGCACATCCTTTAGTTGTCAACCTCGAAAGATGTCGAACAGCACTTTATCAAGACTCCTTCATCCATAGAACGGCTAGGCTCTGGAATTCATTGCCTGTGGAAGTATTCCCAACAACATAGAATCTCCAAAAATTCAAAAAAAATTCCAATACCTACCTCCTGTCCCTATCCTTCCCAGGAACGCACGATGTTCTTTGAACATTATAGGGATTCCCTTTCGTGCGCTCCAATCGATTAAAAAAAAAACTGAATGTGCAATAATTGTATGATATATTATGACTAGAGTTTTCTTGGATATCGTCTATATGTTCAGTAGTAGAATTTTCTTGTCTCATGTTTATATCTCGTGTAGTTTGGATCCCAGAAGGTTCAGGTCTCAGGTTGTTGATCACATTAGCATGATGTACCTCGTCTAACTGCAAATAAGGACCTAATGACTTTGAATTTGCATGTCCAGTCATTTTGATTAGCTGTTCTTCTGGGCAACCTGACTTGACAAGATTTGATACAGCACTCGATCGATTTGAATGATTCGTGATCTTTTTTGTAACAGTATCAAGCCCTATAATCCAGTCATTTGGTGACGGCAAGCACTGGATTCAGGAAAAAAATGCTAAAGTATTTTTTTCGACGGATCTATATGGTTTCTGTGGTGCTGGATCTGAAAATCTAGTTACCGACTAGTTACGAATAGGGCTTCGCCACGATAATCGCAAAAAGCCATGAAAATTCAGGACTTATTTTGATTTTTTGCTTATAACTCCGAAACGACGTGATTTAGAGAAAGAATACATCATACAAAAATGAAAGCTTATGAAATTAACTGTGAAAAAAGATCAACATCGGTTCGAGATCTTGTTTGATTCAGCCGCTAGAGCGCCCTGAAAATTGACAACAGTTTTAAAGTTGTCCAAAATATTCATATTTCAGATTTTGAATTAGTATACACCGCCAGGCTAGTGTTTTCACCTAGTGTGTCTCACCATGGAGTATCTTGAACCTCCTTCCTTTATATTTTTTCATGCCTCCATCTTTAATTTCCCTCCAAATCACAAATATACATCAATTACGCTTCATTTTGAATCTAGCACGGAATTTGAAATTTGTCTAGAACTATTTTCTATCCTCTTGGAACAACTCCGCGTGTCACACAGTTAGTTGCTAAGTGATTTGTTTCGAAATTCATGTTATTTTTCCATTTTTCGTGACTGAGTTGAAATGCCGAACGATAATTATTGTACACTTTGTGATAAGCCGCTGGACGATGGAACCGAAATTGTGAGTAAAGCAGAGAGGGTTGAAAGCCATTGTAAGAGCTAACGTGAGGAGTATAGTCGGTAAAAATGATATGTTTGAGAAATCAGACTCTCTCACACTTCATGTTTCATGTAGGAAACAATACACCAAGGAAACGAATATTGTTGCTGCTAAAGAGGGCAATCCTTTTGCGCAATTTCGATCGCAGCTAAACATATTTTTGCATTTCGAACTCATTGTTTCCTGTGTGGTAATGAAATTCCGGAGAACTATGCTGCGAAACAAAAAAAGTTTACTCTATCTGCACGTGACCCGGTCTATCAGGTGAGAATGATGGATGTGAGGGGTAATGTTATTCAACATGCCAGTACTTTAATTTGAATGATATTTATTCCCGAGCCGTTAAATACCGTTTAGGACCTATAGAAGACCTGATTGCGGCTGGTGGTCAATACCATAGTTTTTGTTTGAAAAATTTTCTGATTCGCACATCCCGTACAAATCCAAAGTACCTGTCGGCCGGCCTTCATCCTCTACTCATGCCAGATTGGAACCAATATACAACTATCTCGAGACCAATGACGAGGAATGTCAGTTCACAGCCGATGAGTAAAATAGAAAATTGGGAGACAGTTGTTGCTCATCTGAATAGTAGATATGGTGATGACATCTTCATTACACCAATACCCACATTGTCTGTTTTAAAAATACAGGGTACAAGATTCTCACGGAATTCGGGTATACAGGTCAAAAAGCGTCGTCAGTAGCTAAAAACGACTTCGTATAGTAAAGGCAACAGCGGCTATAAACGTTGAAGATATACGAGCGCAAGTATATGATTTGACAGAGTATCCTCCACCAGAAGATTTTTGTAAACAGGCCAATGACCCAATACCTTCAACACTCAAAACATTCCTTGATAACTTGAAAACTATGCGAACCAGATAGGTTAACGAGCTGATTTTCATCTCATTTTCTTGTAAATTTCATTTGCTTTCATTTTTATGTGTGCTTATTTGTTTCGGAGTTATGAGTGAAAAACTTAAACATCCCCCGATTTTTCATAATTTTCTGCCATTTTTATGGTGAAGCCATATTGGAATCTAGTCGATGACTGAATTTATAGATTCAGCATCCTAAAAATCATATAAGGATCCGTTGATAAAAATTCTTTAGCAGTTTTTTCCTGTCCATTCCCTTCCGTAGATTCCATTTTCCAATTTCATTTACCCTAATTGGCATATTCTGGTACCATCCAGAATCGGTTCCATTCCAGTAATGACCCACAGTAAGAAATAGACGGAATGACGTAATTCTAGTAGTGCGTTTAGTAATAAGTTTTGAATATTTATATTTCAGTTAATTCTGTTTGAACGAATATAACTTATAACGAAGGGAAGGTGCATAAAGCAAGGTAGCTTTTTTATCACTACAAATGGTGATTGGTCGGTTTTACGAAATTGAAGAAATATTATTGGTTCTTGGAATAAGCGTGTATCAATCGAAATAATATAAATTTATCACTTCACTATACTGAAATGAGCAACTGAAATGATGTCTTCAAGAAAAACGAAACTTGTTTTACTTTTGTACTTATATGAACTTAATGAATTGAATTTGAGTGGAACAGTTCTAAAGGGAATCAATGAAGGGAGCTGTGTTTCGTCGTGTGAACTTCTTTAATTAAATTCGTACAACGCTTTCGGTGATTATGTCATCATCGGAATTAAAGTAATTATGTCACTCACGATGAAGAAAATCACCGTTTCGATAAACTTTTTGGTATAACACCTGACATATATTTAATTCGCTTCGAAGCTGAAATAGAGTATTCAGAATATCGGCTGGTTCATGGAATATGTTGGTTTATCGAATTGGTCAACTCTTCTGGAAGTTGAGTATTTTTCTCATCTTTTGGGCGCATCAAATTTAATCCCTATTATGTTCGAGCATCATTGTGGGTACCTAGAAAAGATAGAGAGAGAAGTTAGTTATTCGATATTTTTTGAGAATACTTATTTGTTTGGCGAAGAATCCAATGCTTTGCTGTTCCCTGCATATTTGGGCGTGAGCTATTTTTCAAATTGAAAGTTCAAGATGGCGGATCCAATATGGATATGGCGGACGAGTTTTGTAGTTATGATCCGATTCTATTCAAAATTGGTATATCTTTGGGTGTTTGGGGGCAGAGATTATGAATATTGCGTTGATATTCAGAAATTCAAGATGACGGATCCAATATGGCGGACGAGTTTTGTAATTATAAGCCGATTCTATTCGAAATTGGTATTTGGAGTTTTTGGGGGCGGAGATTATGAATTTTGTTGTCAAAATCTGGAAATTCAAGATGGTGGATCAAATATGGCGGACAAGTTATGTGATTATGATACGCGATTTTACTCAAAATTGGTATCGGGGTGTTTTCGGGGTCGCAGTTTGGAAATTCAAGATAACGGATCCAATATGGCGGATGAGTTTTGTAATTTTAATCCGATTCTATAATTTGTACCTATCTGGGGGTTTTCGAGTTCGGAGCAGATTATGATCTTTTCCTAAAAATCGAGAAATTCGAGATGACGAATCCACTATGACGAACGATATTGTAATGAATTGTTTGAAATTGTAGTTTGAAAAATAGAAGTAACAAGATTGTTTGAATAGCCAAACTGAAGAGAAGTGGTAGCCAAAATAATAACAGTGTGCTGATAAATATTCAATTGAAAAAATATTTTTTAGGAATAACTGTATAAGTATGGCAAAACATCGTTGGCCGGGTCAGCTAATAATCACACAAAATCTTGAGCTCTAAATATATTCGAGGATACACCTATGCCCAGCTTGCACAAATTAAATTCACTCCAATAAGTATTCTTCCAAAGTTCTTATACCATCTCTTTGTATACATTACTACGATGTTCCAAATTTTAATGTTTTAGTAAGGTATTCCTGATATCTTGAGATTTTTATTGTGGTTCTAGATATCAAAAGTAGCTCAAGTGGGTGTGACGTGTTACTCAATAAACAAAATGCATCGACAAAAATCAGAAATCTTATTTGAGCTTGGTTCATCGCTGGTCGATTTTGGCTCTGAGGGTGCCAGCGATGAAAGGTGATGATGATATTATTGGTCAATTTGAATTGGTCAGCTATCAGCTACCTTCATCACTAGCATCGCTGAAGCTAAAATCACCCAGTAATTGACCCCCTGCCCTAGATGTCGCTGTTTCCATGTTGTTCACGAATCGTTGCAAAGATTCCGAGACGATCTAATTTATTGTACTGCCTGGCATCAACAAGGAAAGCTGTCGAACTTTTCCCGTCATCTACCACAACATAATGACATATAGACTGATAGTATGGGTTTCATCATGTCATTCAGATATAATATTGAAACTCCAAAAAAAAGCCTTCAGAATTATGGCACAGGCTAAATATGATGACTATTGTAAACCTTTGTTCAAAAATCTCCATATCTTGACTCTGCGATCTTGCTTCATAAATGAATGTTTGTGTTATGTCAAAAAATTGAGAGTGAAAATAAAGTTACCAGGCAGTAGGACATACACCACCATGATACCAGGGCCAAAACAAATTTGAGAATACCAAAATATAGGATGAGTAAATCGCAAAACTCATATTTACATCTATCATTGAAATTTTTCAATGAGTTTCAATCTCCTGACATGAGTATAAGCACTTTTAGAGTAAAAATCAAGAACATTCTTTTGGAAAATGCCTTTTATACATCTGAAGAATATTTTGTTCATTTCGAACGTTCAACTAATTCGTTAACTGCCTAATAACAGATATTTTGTGTACTGCTATATCTCTGATTTTACGTCTGTATTCTTTGCCAAGAGTTGGGTATTTGACTGTATATTCACTGTACAATGTTTTAATTTGTTGTTGTTATATACTAATACTATGTATCACTATTGACATATGTGAACACTTTATGTATGTACTGACGAATGAATTTCTATTCTATTCTATTCTACCCTTATTGTTGTTCAATCAATTGAACACAATATGTGGCAATGACTATGAGTTTCGTCTCATTATGAACATTTTGGTTATCTTATAGTTGAATTTCCATCGTTTTCAGTTGATTGCCGATCCAGAGACCAACCAAATAGATTCGGGGCTCAAGCAACTGCAAATAGAACTGCTCGCACAACGTTTGGCCGAAATGAACAGCCCTATAGGGTTCCAGCGAGACCTGAGGAGTGAAACGGAACGGAAACGCCGCTTTCGCGCATGCTATTTCAACCCTGTCAGCTGCTTCAAGAAGTAAACCGGAATTCAGTTGTTTATTTTCATGTCAATTTGCAAACAACTCTGGGGGTTTTGGTTAAGGAGGCATATAAAGTCTATCAATATTTTTTTTTCTATCGATGATTCGGCTGTTATTCTTGATGGAAATCCATAGTGAAAGTGAGAAACTTCACAAGCTTTAGGATATTCATAGGAGTCTTGGAAACACGATATGTTTTTCTAACAGAGCAGCTTTCTCAAGTGAAGTACTGGTACAATGTATTCTGATGAAGAAGCTACTATAGTGTAAGAGAAACATGTCGCATGTTGCGTTTTTAATTGATTCTATATGAAGATCTTATCGTTTGTGAAGTTTTTAATATCTCTCGATGTGTTGGTTTGTTATTCAGAATAATTAGTTCGAGAGTTACGTATAGGGATGTACAAATTGCAATAAATGGAATATTGCTTTATATACTGTAGTAAACAAAATTCAGCAGAATTTGGAGAATTAAATGCATAAATTCATATCACGTATCAGATACGCAAGCAAAATCTGTAGGTATATACAATTACAAATTCAATTGAAATTTGATTTTCAACATGCCCAAATTGCAAGTACTTTGGGCCATGTTCGCTCAATTTTTTTTACCTGATTTGGTAATTTCAAGTTTTATGAAGATAACATATTTCACTCTAAGATGAGTTGGCATTAGAACTCTTTGATTTTTTGTCAAAATATAAATGAATTAAATCTAACAGACTACAGACTACAGAAAAGGTTGCATGATCTGATTTAATGGTTCGAAACTGAACTACCAGTTCGGTAAACGAACAAAAAATGAAAGGAAGAAATCGTGTAGTCACAAATTTTTGTAGACTGATATGGGATAGTACCATGAACAACATACTGAGAATCAGTTATCCTTATTCCTCGAGTCAGGTTCCCTAGAGTCTGCTCTTTGGTCATGTCACACCAAACTCCTTCCCAACGTATAGCAGTGCTATTTATGGAAAAATAGCTCTCATCTGCAAAATCCCACTACAAAAAGTCACTTCTGCGAACCCCTTTAATGACGAGCAGATTCCGGCTGCTCCAGCAGACCCAAAAACCGACTCCGGTGGAGCAGAATCAGTTATTTCTATTCGTCGATTCAGACCACCTAGAGTCTGCTCTATGGTCGTATCTGACCAAACTCCTGCAGTTCAATTTATGGTTGAATAGCTCTTATCAATGCAAGCATGTTGGGCACGTAAATTTGGGCACATTTTGTATTCAGAAAGTGAACATTCGTATGAATACCATATAATGTTCTAAACACAGGCCAAGTGAGAGACCATTCCAATCACCACAACGCCTAGAAAACCTAAAATCCAGTAGTACCTACTGAAGCGAGACTGAACAGCATATTTTGCCGATATTCTCCTGGATGTGGGGGACGATGTGGGTGCCAAAAAGCTGGATTTCCATGCTGCTTGGTGTACGGCATGTGGCCATGGTACGTGTTTACGAATGGTGCAACGTTGCTGGATATGGAAAATGATGACGAAGATGAAAGATCATGGAATGTATACATTCAATGTGTTTGTTTCTAATGAGTAATATGTTTTTCCTGTTACTTTTCACGTTGAACACCAATTTTGTACCATTGAACTTTATGTTTGATACTTCTCGATTTTTTCATCCCCTGTATCTCAGGGAGTATTAATTGTAGACGAGAAATGGAGGAAAATTAATGTTCTTCAATCTCGTGTACCAATGTTTTACCACCAGAGGCTGCCATTTTCAAGAATAACTTGAAAAAAAGACCCACCACCTCGCTCATATCTTACGGTTCATGGCACTTCCGTTTACCACTGTACGAAAATTTGCGACTACACAATTTTTTTCCCTTTTCGACCTTTTTTGGCCTTCGTTGATTGAATTATACCCAAATGTTCTGAACTTTTAGAATTATATTAGAATTTGTCAATCCTAATAATCTCTTGGAATCACTGGTCGAGTGGGCTAAAATTTGTAAAATCTAGCCCGACATCATTGAAATTTTCATTAGGTTAGCCTTAGGTTTTTTCGAAATCCGGTTCCAAATTCAGAGAATTTTTTTCATTTTGTTGTACAGCTCTCGATCTGACTCAGCTACTTATCAGCCCTTCTACCAAAATACCACACAGTTGAAATATCCAAATATTTATGTAATATATCCAATGTTAAATGTCAAATTATTTTCAATTCCAGAATTTAAATAAACGTTCGTAATATACGGAAATAATCTGAAAATTTGTTGAATTTTTTTATTTCTCAACCTTCTTCAATATTCGAGAGGAGCAGTAGATATTCTTACTTGTATGAAAGTATATATTTGTTTTATGTCCTTGAATTATACACAAAAAAGTGTTACCAAATTTCCAATTGGACATTAGAAAGAAATAAATTCACACGAGTAGAGTCCAAGATTGGTTCCATTAGTTCCTACAAAATCAGTTCAGAATATTGAACAATCTATCAATGATAGACGGAGAATTTTACATTTCCATAATGTATTATCAACATGTAATAAGATTTTCCTCTACAATTCATTTTTGATTTCAACTGATTCAAAAGCATTCAAACAAGGTAAGGTATTATTGAAATATATATTTCAAATTATTAAATTGTATATTTTTACTCAATAAAAAGTTTGTCATCGAATGTACAAATATAAATAGTCCGTAATATAAACACACAATTCAAACTAATTATACTCAAATTATTGATAATTTCTTTATTTACAATATCCATTTGTGGGTCCTGGAGTCATCTTTCATTTTGACAAGTGAAAAAAGACAAATGCATTGAGCAATATCATTATCACACTCAATGTATTCAATATAGTTTACTTACATTCATTGATACATAATTATAGAAAATATTTTCATGCACTGACTGTTTCGAGTCTGTGACATTTCCGCAACAATAATTCATATATTTACAATAGTTTATTTGGAAATACATATTTGTAGATGTTAGAATATATTCAAGTATAGGTAGGTACCGATATGTTGTATAGGTATGTGAAAAAAATTAGTATAGTAGTCGATACTTCGGATACTAAGTTCTTTATTTCGAAAATAATCTTTTTTTTTTATTTCAAACTTTCTCAACTAAACGAATATCCATCTGAGTACTGTCCAATACCCATACCATTATGAACTCATCATATATTCATATATTTTTCAAGACATTATCGAAAAAATATTTACATATCAAGAATATGTATACTCCATGAATTTTGGTTCACCTCCAAATTATACTTTCCAAGAAATGATTTTCAAGTAATTTATAGTCTTATAGTTTGTCTGGTCTGAGAGAAAACGTGAAAATATAAAACATCTGAGTTTTTGTTAGAGTAAGGGAATACTCATGAAAATTGGGTCTGAATAAAATTCTAGGAATAATAAAAGTATTGTTATTTCATTGTCAATTCACAATCTATGATGTGATCGATATTTCCTGAGTGAATTTGAAATGAAATCTCCACTAACTAAATAATAGGTGTATTATGAATCCCACTATTGATGACAGCTACTTGTCTTTTCATATGACAACCAACTTGCATTGATTCGAATTTCTGCAACTCATAAGTGGCAGGAATTTCAAATTCTGTTATTTGCATTACTGCAACTTATAAGTAGCAAAATTTCGAATTAATTTTTGCACCTACCAAAATCACGTCAGACATCAATGCAGTCATGAATATTGAATTCGAAAATTTGTTTCTAGCAAACTAAGAAGATCATTTTTGGATCAGATCGAAGTCATTTATTTGTCAAGATGTTGGAATACAATATCAATAAATTGTGATGAGGACGTGCTATGGAATTTTGAGTTTCAAATCGAAACAAGATTTATCAAAATCAGAACTTTGTTTCCGTCATTTAATTTAAGCGATGCAATCTTGAAATTGAGGTGCCTATCTGATGTGGTCTAATATCTGGTATCAACGTAAGTTCTGGAATATTTCAAAAAGATCGCGCCATATGTTGAAGAGTGAACCCACCATGATTTATTTCATCATTATCTTTAGTGGCCGTTGAAATATTTTTGACGCTTTTCACTTATGGAGATCGAACTGCAACACGTTTGGTCACTTCAATGTCTGTAAAACTGTAAATATCCTGAGCAGAGGAGGCAAATGGAAAAACTATTTCAACTGCCACCACGATGCTACGTTCATTTATTGTACAGGTTCATCCAGAATAACGTTCGTATACTCCGGAAGGCAATTCTTCAAATGAAAGTAAAATGAAATGATTCGATCTTAAAAATCGTTTCGTGGTACGTAAAACATGATTTGATATACAGGGACGTGTGGAACTCGTAACTAATGCTATGAAAATGAAAGGTTCATCATATTTCTTCTACCAAAATATGATTCTTCAAACACACTTGAGCGTTTCCGGACATATGTATACTCATCTGGACAAGTCATATTAGAATATTGTGAGAAATCACTTCCTGAATTTTGTCACAGTACTCTTGGATCATTCTGTTGAAACCCTAATTTGTTCCTATCCATCATATCTGCTGTGTAGGCTTGACTATCTCTATCTTGAAACAAAGACTCATTTGAATATGAATCGCAAACTACTTATCAAACTTACATACAATATTGCATTATTCACTAACAAATAAATACTACATACTAAACGTTGAGACCCTTCTTCGCCCAAGTTGATAGAACTGATGATTATTCACATAGGAAGTTGTCATATAACAGAAAATGCGCTGAGGAGAAGTGGTAATTCAAGATGTCCAAAATGAATTTTTCTGGATATGACCATCACAGTGCGAATTATCACTCTCCCTTACCGCGTTTCCAGAATGAGGCAACTAGGGTCCCTTGATGCAAATTGACGCATTTGTCATTTATCTATAGACTATCTATCACGAGAATACTCGTTAGACTGTATATCATTGATGTGCTGAATATAATATATACAGGTATTATTATGAATGTTGTCTTTCCCATCCATGCAAGAGTGTGAATATTTTGTGGCGCA